AGTCCAGATTCTTAATTTCACTTCAACACTAAATAAAATACCTTGTTATTGAAGGAACAATCATTTTAGCATAAATTTGTATGATCAGTAATTTGGCTGGAACTACTCTGATATGCGACCTCAAGTCGCCAAATATCTTTGGCGAGAAACTTCACGCTGCCATTTTACTATCTAAATTTTTTGTCTACATTTTGAACTTTTAACCTAAAATGTCTCCAAAAATGCGGTTTTCGCACATGCAAAAACTGCGTTTTGAACACACAATTTAGCTAAAAATCCGAAACAAAAACAAAAAATTTAGATAGCAAAAACGTAAAGTTTCTAACCAAAAATATTTGACAAGAATCCATGTACACAGCGTATGTTTTAACTTAAAAAAAATCTACGAATTGCACAATGTAGGCAACGAACGAATCTACAAACTACGCAGACCTCGCTTTAATAAATTAACATAACAACAATAAATTTCAAAGAATACTATGTACACAGCATCCTGTTTAAACTTAAAAAAAATTCTATGAATTGCACAATTTAGGCAAAGAAGGAATCTACGATCTACGCACTGCTCGCTTTAATAAAATAACATAACAACAATAAATTTCAAATAATACCATGTACACAGCATTCTGTTTCAACTTTAAAGAACATCTACGAATTGTACAGTCTAGACACTAAACAACAAAATAAACTAAAATAAATTTCAAACAATTTAAAAAAACAACAAAACAACAATAACGAGAAATTCATACTAAAGAACAAATGAACATAACATTCTACAAAATAAGAACAAAGATAAAATAAATGCACTTACCATGAATTTAATGCGTTTTTCGAATAGCAGAAATATAAATTTCATACCGCCTTTAACATGCCGCTACGTAATCACTATCGTATTTACATGACAGTTAGACACACTATCCAGAAAATTTATACTATGGTTCACAAACAATAAAAAATCACAGAATCCCTACTTCTATCATGCACTAGCCATTAAAAATAATCTCCCAGACCCTTCTTTCCACACCTTCCAAATACCCGCTACCCCTCAACAGGATAGGCCACAATCAATATTTCCTTTTGCCGAACTTCAATTCAACAACTACCATTTTATCTTTCCCTCCCATCTTCTCAGACACAGAGGCGAACCAACGAGCTCCAGCGAAAGATTTTTCAACGTCAACAGGGTTGCCATAGAACACGCAATTGCGCCAAAAACCAGCGCAGAACACATATCGCCACATTTGGTGAAATTAGAACGTATATTAGAGTTGTACCATTTGGCTCCATTGCTGGATATCTGCTTGGCACACATCTCAAACAGAAACATTCCACATAGATACATCGTTGATCTGACACCAGCCTGGTGAACCATTATTTATTATATTTTCCTTTCATCATCTCATGTTTATCAAAACAAGACAACTTGAGTAATGACTCATGTAGCGATGTCTAAACAATTTTTTTATGTTAGTAACTGAATAATAAAGGTGTATGGTAACCTGTTATGTCGACATTACGCTTGGCAATTACAGATTTAAGTTAAATACACTAAAAATGTTGACGAGGAAAAATTTACTAAAAATTTCTTTCCGTATGCTAAAAATAGATTTTGTTGATGGTACTCATAGACCCAAAGATTACATTTAGGACTATTTGAATTAAGAATAACTGAATTGTTATTCACATAAACCCAGGACCAGCGCCAGGGCTCATATGGCCGCACTGAGTCGCAGAATTTAGGACCCACAGAGACTGCATCAGACAGTAAGATATCTGGTGCCAGCCCTCAGTAAGGCTTAAGTATATGTGGGAATTTATTTATTCAGAACTCTGATAAGCCTTAAGCATGTGCAAGACATAGACATAAGTATAACAAATAACTAATACAATTCAGGCTTAATTGTGATAGAAGCAAGATAAAATTTAACGGAACAACATGTTATTACTCGCCAAGCTCATGATGCATAGCCAAATATGTATAGTGAAGGAAAGCTAAATTTGATGATGATAGCTGCTAATTTTAAAGTTTTTCGGATATCGCGAAACAAAGGTGAAATTTTCCAATTAACGGATTTTGTAAAGAAATGTGGAGAAGCGGTATATAGAAAATTACTTGAAAATAAGTGGATTTTAATAACACATCATAAATGAAAATTCTGGGTCTCCTTGTGATATGCTGCCATTGACTACTTAAAAAGAGAAGTTCAAAGTAGGTTGAATTTAACGGTTTCAGAAGCGATTCAAGTTGGGGGGGGGTTGCATGTAGTGGAACAATGAGCAACAAAGGGTTAACATGTTTATCTTCCATTTATTTTCTCAACTTTTCACTAGACACAAGTATGGAAAATATTAAAAATATTTTTAATCTTTTAGCATGGACAGGCATTTATAAAAAAGAATTTTTCTATTAATAAAGAAATTGAAAACTAACATTTTAAAATATTTACCTTATATGTCTCAATGGATCATACACAAGGCATTTTCCCCACCTGTTTCAATCTCCGTTGATCCTAAATTCTGCTCCCACAGCCTGTCCTAAATTCTAAAAGTTTTGCCATTTCTATATTTTGTGTTGTTCGGTATGTCTCTAAATTCTAAAAATTCTGCCTCATCGGCCTTGAAACCAGCCCTTACTATACATCATTTCATATGTGAAGAGGAAATGAGTTGGAAAAAGAAACTGAATGCATAAAGAGAAAGAAAATTATTCTTCGATGATATGTACAGTTATTATTATGCAAATTAACCAATTGTTTATAATTTTAGTCTTTACTATAAGTTCCCTTTTCCATTTCCTCACCATAATGCAAATCAGATAGTTTTTAAACTGAGGTTTTGGGACTGAAAGACATAGTATTTTTGCCCTTCACTTGGATGTTGCATTAGTTTCTGCCAGCTCTGATAATTTGTAATTATTCATCTTTGCATAATCGCCGCTAATATTTGAATTTGTTACGACGATAGAGTTACTGAGTCAGCTTAGAAATTCCATACAGTCTGCAAAACGAAACGAAGTTTCTACAAATGATCAGTTTTTAGGAGAAGCACATCAAAAATATTTTTTAGTTTCTAACTAATTTTTTTAAACTATTTAATTCAGTAGGGTGGTCCTCTTGAGACTGAAGCAGTTATTCCAGGAGAAAAATTAATTTAAATATTTAAATAGGAGTTCTAAATCCATCAAGGAGTTTTTTTATAAAAAGCCGTCAAGCCAAATGTCAACCAGCTCAGAACCGTCAGATAAGAAACCAAAGATTGATGAACAACCAGAAGAAACTACTTCTAAACATGATAAGTTTTTAAGTGGCTTAACGAATTTCCTTGGGTCCTCTTCAATAAAGAGCAAAATAAAATGTTTTGTAAAACATGTCAATCTGCCAATATGAAGAATGGCATGGGTGTGATGGGTTCATCATGTTTCCAGAGAAGTACTCTGTCTTGCCACGAAAAAAAACTACAGAACACAGGCTTTCTTTAAATGCCAGGAAAGATGCCAAAGCTCTTGAAAATATCATCGAAAAGGAAAAATCTACAGCAACAGATGGCGATTTGGAAGTGTTCAAGACTGTTTACACTATTGGAAAAGAACTTCCTTTAATGAAATTTAAGCCTGTAATAATGCTTTTGAAATCATGTGGAAATGAAACTCACTTGAATTTATCTCAAAATTCAGTTACAGACATAATTAAAGCTATTTCGGAAGTATTAGAATCAAATTTGGATGAGGATGTTTCACAAAGCCCCTACATTTCTTTAATGATAGATGAGTCAACAGATATTTCAGTTGACCATAAATTAATTATATATGTGAAATATTTGAAAAACAATGAAAGTCAGAGCAGTCTTTGGGCAAGACTATACCTTTATCAACGGCTGTTTGTGAAAGAGGATTTTCTACTCAAAATAGATTGGGGGAAAACAACTGGAAATTCTAACGAGAATATCTGAGCAAGGCCAAGATTTCAAGGAACAAAGGGGAAATGTTTTTTTTTGATTTTAATTTTGAAAGAGCAGTAACTTTGTGGAAAAATCGGAGGAAAAGGAGATTAAAATTGTAACGTAACCAAGGAAAATGTTTTTTGTGACTTTAATTTTGAAAGAGCGTTGATATTGTAAGGAAATCAGGAGAAAACGAGATTAAAATTGTAATGTAATCAAGAATAAAGGTTTTTTGTAACTTTAATTTTGAAAGAGTTTTGATATTGTAAGGAAATTAGCTGTAACATAGTGGAAAAATCAAAGGAAAAGGATATTAAATTTGTAATATTAAATAACTATTTCATTTAGAATGTTTAATGTAAAATAAATTCTTTTATTTATAATGTTTAATATTTCTTATTTCTAATATTTTTTCTTATTTCTTATTTCTACTAATACTTAACATATGCTATAATTGTCAGAAACCAAAATAGCATCCTCTTTTTTTTTTCCGATTTCATTTTGTCCATTAAAGAAGTGTTTTTTTATAGAAAATTTGTCTCTGTATGCTATTTCCATATTTATATTCCATATAAATATATTTATATTTATTTCCATATTCCATATTTTTATTTCCATAGTTTATGCTATTTCCATATTTCACTCCTCCTAAAAAAGTCCAGGAGTATTTTTACTCTTCCAAAAAAATCCTAGGAATGACACTGCTGATAATGTTTGGAATTATGATAGATATCAATAATTTGGGAATCTTTGAAAAATTGTGTCAACTCACCTCTTATAAGTGGCATTTATCATTACACTTTTTACCATCTATGTGACATTAATCATGAGTTTGCTTCAAAATATTTATTGAAATTGCCAGTATAGATTTGCAGGTAATGTATTTTTCACCCTTTTTGTTCAATTTCTTTTTTAAAAAATTGTCTCTAATTAGGGTAGGAAATTCATTTTCATTTGTGACATTCTGTGCATTAAATTTATTACTACCAAGTATAAACTGATTTAAATAATTAACTTTTTAATAAAGCTTTTAAATAATATAAACAATATTTATATTTCAGGTTTGAAAATATTACAGTAGGAAACTACAGTTATTATTACAATCCTTGCTACAGTTTCAAACTTGGGACAGGTAACTCTGCTTGTGCTAAAGGAGTTGCTGTAAGTTTTTCCTCCTTCCTTGACTTAATGCAATCTTTTTTTATTTTTACAGTGCTTTGTACTAGTAATTAGCTATTATCACATTAAAGTGCCATATTCTTATACTGTTGTGTAAAGTAGTTATGAAACATAAATTTTAATTTTGTATTATTTTAACAGTATTATATTTCATATTCTTTTATTGACTCTTCTTTACAAAATTTTGCAACTTTTTATAAATGTTTTCACACTTATATTTAAATATAATTAGAAGAAAAGAAACATAACCTGCAAATTGTACAATGCCATATGGTGCTTTTCATATTATTAAGGACATATGTGGAAATCTTATTTTCATGTAACTGATTTCAATCAGATTCATCATCTGTTGAAAGCTTTGCTTGTAGCAAATGCATTTCTGTTACGATCTGTAATCTTAATGTAGTTTCAAATTTTAGTATAGTTTTAGCTTTGAAATTAATAACTTTATATAGTATATGAATTAAATGAAATAATTTCAATTCTATCTATAAACATATGTTTTAGCTTAAGGTATTTTAAACTAATTTCTCCTTTAATTAAAAAAATTTTTTTTTTTTTTGAGTTCACTAAAAATTATATCTGTGATATTAAGCCCCAATATAAATCCGTCTTGTTAGTAATTGTTAGTCTTGTAGTTAGGACTTGGTATTGTAAAGTATTTTGCAGTAATTTACAAAACAGACAATCTTCTTAGTAGAACATAAATTTTATTTCTAGTTCTCGGTGATAGACAAATTTTATACAATTCTTAAGTGGCAAAATTTCATACTACTCCTAGCTATAAAAATCTTCAGAATTCTCTAATCTTTTTAAAACAATATCTCACGTTGCTGAGTAATGGTTTAATACAAATATGGCGTTGCCACTTTATAATTATATTTATTTATTAAATAACGATATTACAACCTCTCGCCGCTCCAGATAAACTTTAATTTATAATTTTATAAATTAAAGTTTACGGTTTTTTTTTTTTTTTTTTTCCAAAAACAACAATATCAGCACAATACAGAATTGAAATACAAAAATATAAACATAATAACATACACTGAGGAGAGAGGAGAAGGAACAAAATATTTTTTTTATCTATATAGGAGAACAAATTATTTAATCAGGCCAGGGAGTACGACTTAATGCGTCTACATTTTTATGGTTTTTACTACTTCGATGAACAATCGTGTAAATTGTAGGGTTGTAGTACCAGTGCCCATCTCATAAGTCGTCGGATTTAGACTCACATTATTTTTTGAGCCAAACTAAGGGATTATGATCGGTCATGATGAGGAATTTAGTATGCCCGTCTAAATAACATTGAAGTTTCCTTTACAGCAAATATTATGGCGGCGTATTCCTTTTCTGTGGTAGAGTACTTTTTTTCAGTTTCTGTAAACTTCTCTTACTGAGGTATAATACTGGATACTTCATTGTCTCGTTCATCTTTTTGAGCTAAAAAGACACCCATACCAGTGTCTGAAACATCAATTTGCAAAATAAACTCCTTATTGAAATCAGGCGAGTGTGAATATAAGGCTTTTGTGGCAGTTTGTTTTACTTCTTTCAGCAACTCGCTCTTGTCTGTTTAGTTTCTTTAAAAACTTCTCCTTGGCACTTGCATCTCAACTGCAGAACTTGGCAAACTCATCTAGAAGCTTTTTAAATGAGAATCGTTTAAATTTTGTCAGTTCTTTCTTGTTCAGATAGTTTTTGCTCCTTGCAAGATGAAACTTTTGTTCTTATCTGCTGCTTGCACTCTCATTGAATGTGGCAACTTTGAGTATCCTTTATCATGTTTGTGCCTCTTTGCTAAGTTTTCTGACGCGAGCTTATATTCTGAATGTATTTTTAACCACACGAGGACGCTCCTGACGTAACTTTTTTGACGCCGGCGTAAATTCGTGTGACGCAGAAGACATAAAACTGAGTACGCTCCTGTTCAGCTTTTTCACCCGCGACGCGTGCGTATAGCCAATAGCCGACCGAGTTCTTATCACGTGTCATAATCAGAAAACCTTCTTGCTTACCCGTTTCAATATGGCGTCAGGACCACACAGAGATGAGTTTTTGCTTAGAAATATCATAACTGTATACAGCAATAAAATTATCAGCATTGTACATGCCATCTACAGATTTCTCAAACCGTACATATTGGTATACATTTAAAATTCTCATTAAAGGGGAAAACTGTATATTTATAAAGCAATGATCCGACCAGTATATCCATATGCTTCACCTATTTATAACACCGTAAGTAATATGAACCTAAATAAATTACAGTTTCTACGAAATCAAAGTTTCTGCCTTACAAAATTATCCTTAATTAATAAATATTGGCTACATCATGTGTAATAAAAAGCTCTATAAATATCCCAATATTAAATACACCAAAAACTAACTTCAGCAATATAACAACTTCTAAAATAAAGCAGTTGACCGTGAAAGAGTATTCAATAAAATACAATTACGAAATTTTGGAGGAAAGTTACAACTTGTGTCATACAGCAATCATTTATTGAAGTTTAATTAAATTACCTTTGCAGCGACTTCTACTTGTTACATTATTTTTCACAAACACTGCTATCACAGATAGCTGAGTGGTCAGTGCGCTGCATTGCTGGTGGAGGAATGGAAAGGTGGCGAGTTCGAACCTCACCCGTAGATGGTAGTTAGCTTTCCTCATTTTGAAAATTTTTTCTTATATTTAATCATGAATCATTATATTCTTAATTTACCTATTATTATTGTTTTCATTTCTTATTTTATTCATTATTATCATTGTCGTTTTTAATTTAGTTTAAAAATGTGCATTGCAAATAGAAATCCTTATGTAATAATATATCTGCATCTCTTTATCATATATCATCTATAAATTCTCTCTTTATTTTTACTTTATTGCATATTTTATCATGCACATAGTTTCTCATAAACTGTCCAAAGTTTGAACCTCGTTCTAAATTCAAAAATAAATAAAAAGAAAAACAAAAGACCAAGGAAGGGGGAGTTAAAAAAATATGAATTTGGTTTTATTATATGGTGGATGGTGTAATTCTCTTTATATACAGTACTCCAAACCAATTTTATAAATCCTAATTTTCATACAATATAGAATCTGCAAGTCTGTCAAACTGGTCGATACTCATCCTGAAGTAATTAAAAAACAAGTAATATACCAAAAAAAAAATTAAGTCGATTCCTACTTAGGTCCACAAAGAAAAATTTAAAAAATACAAAAATAAATAAATAAAAATACAAACAGAATTTTTTAAAATTAAAAATTTTAAAAAATTCAATATGTGAAAAAGCTGTATTAACATCAAGTGTCACTTCAAATTAAAAAAATTGTATTTGAACTTGAGTGGATGAATAAAAAGCATTTTATGTACTGAAAATTTCAACAAGATATAGAGCGTGTGAGCTAATAGTAGGAATTTAATAATTCCGGATATTCCTTTCGCAAACTAGGCAGTAAAAAAAAAAAAATTCTCTTTGAATAGGTCGCTCTAAATAAATCTTTCGGACCCATTCTTGCCATTTTTTGTGGTTTTGCCTCTGCTTAATAATTGCACTTAATAGTAAAGTTTCAGCTATTAAAAAAAATCATCTGTTTTGGACAACTTGCCGCAAACATACAGAAAAACAGCGAAGTAATAAGATACAGCTCTGTTGACGCTATATTACAGCGTCATGTGATTTTTGCGTAAAATAATTCTATTGGTTAAACGCACTCTTCGCGAGCGTACTCGTTTGGACGCTTTTACGCTGGTAACGTAAAAGTGCGTTTGTCAGCTACGTTTCGAGCGTACTCGTGTGGACGGGCCTTAAGAGAGATTCCTGGATATTGTATGTGTCTGGAATAACACCCTCAAAACCCAGTAAACAAGTTTGGGAAAGAGTTAGAAAATGACTTGAAATATATTAAGTCCACTCACTTTCCTTTTGGGAAAAAGATGGTCGAGTGATCAGCATTGCAGAAGGAATTGCAAATACTCTTGGTGAAACATTTTCAGCCATCTCTAATGGCAACAGTTATTCCCAATCATTTCTGTCCACTAAGCAATATGCTGATAATATTCTCATTAAGTTCAGCTCTGACAACTCAGAGTCTTATAACTATGAATTTTCCCTCTTTGAATTAAGGAGAGCTTACAGGCACATAGGTCATACCTGAGTTCAGATGGCATTAGTTACAAAATTAGTACCAACTCGGTTGTAAAAGAACTTCCTCCTATGTTTTCAGGTTCTTTATATGTTGATGACCTTCACATATGCTGTCAAGGTGCATTCATGAGATATGTAGCGAGGTAACTGAAAATCACTCTTAATAGGATCCAGCAATGGTCAAAGAAAGTAGGATTTACTTTTTCTAAATAGAAGACTGTATGCATACACTTTTGCAGAAAGCGCAACCTCCATCCTGAGCCTGTGTTGTACTTTGAAGGATCACCGATTCCAGTGGAACCTGCAGTAAAATTTTTAGGAATGATGTTCAACCAGAAATTAACTTTCCTTCCACATATCCTGTACCTAAGGAAGAAGTGTTTCAGGAGACTGAATCTTTTGGAAGTCCTGGCAAACACCTCCTGGGGCACGGACCGTTTCTCGTTACTCTGAATCTAAAGAGCACTTATGCTCCAAACTAGATTTCCGCTCACTTGTATATGATTCTGCATGGCCTGCCATGTTTTTAAAATTAAATACTGTGCACCATCAGGCTTTGCATATATGCTTTGGTGCATTTAGAATATTTCTTGTCTAAAGTGTCTATGTCGACTTCTATGAGCCATCACTTCAGTTAAGATATGAGCAGTTGTTTCTTTGCTACTATTTTAATGCTTTCACTTCCTAATCATCCAAATCAGGTTTCTTTCATAGATGATAGTTACAAATTCTTGTTTGAGGCCTAACCATCCTATCTGCTTTATTTCTCTCTTAGGGTTTACTCACTAATCGAGAAATACCACATGGCAGATCTCAGTACCCAGGCA